AGGCACCATGTGGTGCAGTGGGGGAGAGCTAGCTACCTGCCCCCATCTACGGAAGCCAGGGAGAGAAGGCATGGCTCTAGCCTTGGTGTTTCAGGTACAGTCCCCCAAAATGTGTTTGTCTTTCAGCCTAAAGTCCCCTTCTTCTTATTCTGCCTGCTCAGAATCCTGGGAAATCTTCCAGGATTTGCCTTAGCCAGAACAGCGGCTCATCCTTTTCCTTCCAATGTACTATTAGTGAGTTGTTTTTACATCTGTATTTCCCACATGGTAGAACACCCTCGAGAGCAGGCACCATACTCTTATATTCCCTTTTGCACCTAGCAAAATTTTCCCGCAGATTTAATGCAAAATATGTGCTATCTAATTAAATAATAATTTCCCCTGGAATCTCCACATATTAACCTATTCCGAGAAAGATAATTTAGAAATGCCCTTTAGGAATCTATATGAACATAACATTTTTAAAATTTCCATAAAAATATGAGGCAGTTAAATCATTTCAGCTTTGTGCCAGGCCTTTAAATAATTTTTTTAAATGACATTATTTTTTTCCTGGATTTTTGGATGTTTGCTTTGATATTTTATATTTTTCATTTGTTATGATTTTCTCATTTAAAATAAATATTCACTTGTAATAAAATAAAGTATGAAGGGCAAAGCTTCAAGTCCAAACCGATCACTCTTGGAGTGGGGTAATACAGTTCCCTGAGGAGTTTCTAGTTGGCTGAAGTTGCATAATACTGTCATCTCCAGACTTCTTTACAAAAAACATAAAATGAACTGTAGACACGAAACGTACCTGGGTCAAACTGAATCAGTTTAGATAGAGTCATGGTGAAATCTTTTCCAATTGTAGCTGACACTTGGTTGACCTTAAAAGGAAAAAAAAAATGTCTTTTTTAAATAAAAATATTCTATAATATAGAAACATCTAGGCTAGTCTCACACTAAACTCATGCTCTACAAGTCTATTTTTAACACAACTTGTTTTTTTTTTCATTGTAATAAAACATTTTTGATCCAAGCTGCATGAATTTTTCTTAAAGTTAACTTTTTTCTAGGCTAATATCAATGGAAGTAAAAGTAAAACTTTTTTGTTTCTCTTTTATAAATGATTCAGTTATTGGAGAAAGCAACATGAATTTTAAACAATATCTTTCTCTTTGTTACAAGTCAGATTTTTTTTTATTTCATTACCTTCCCTTTACCTTAACCTTGTTTTAAAATAGTGTCTCTGAAGAAAAAAAGATGGAAGAGTGAAGAAAGAAAAAAGCAGGCACTCCTGACAGCCTGGGTGCTGGTCTGTCAGCCAACTCTGAGGCCTCCTGCGAGCTCCAGGACACTGAAAGCCTTTGGACTAGATGAACTACAACAAAGTCTGCTCCGCTTTCCTGTCTGGATGAAACCATCCCTCTTCACAAACTTGGATGTAGGCTTTATGGGGATAGCAGACCTGGTGAACAGCTCCGCAAAGACAAGCCACACCCAGAACTGAGGGCTTAGAAGCTCCATCAAGTAAGTTATTAAAAAAAAAAAAAAAATCACTCTAGTTTAAAGAGGCTATTGAGTGATTCCCTGTTCCCCACCCTTAAAACCAATCGATTTTAAGGCTCTAAAGTCCTGGCCTCAACACCAGCCAGAGAAAGCCTAAACATATATTAAGAACAGCATCCTTGGCTGGTTTGAAAAAGAGGTCATTGAATGAGAACCAAGTACAACCTCAATAGGCGGCTGTTACTTTTGTATTTTTTTAAATGTTTAAGATGATCAGAATAGTGGGTTAATAAATTTCTTCACTTTTTTAAATAAAGGAATGAAATGCACAATTGAAAATTTAAAAATTCTTATTTCTATGTCCTCAGACATTTTCTCTGTTTCTAATCAAAGGCCCTAATATCTGCCAGTGGTTCTGCAGTGGAAACAGTTTGCTAAAGAAGGGTATTACCTTCTCAGCTCCCATTTGCTCTTTGCTTACAATGCCAGGGCTCCTCCCGAAGAACTTTTCATTGTAGAAAGGCAGCCCATTGTACACCTGTACCCACCATATGCTGAGACTTATATATCCCTGCATGGTTCTTGCACGTGCAATTACCTAGTATTTACCACCACTGAGTTTACAGAATCCTACGTGGGAAAAGGAATGGTCTGAGGCAAAGTGATTGGAGAAATCAGTCCAGTGAAGGTGCATGATCTGAACCAGGGCAAACAACACCGGTAAACATGCTTTCTCTTTCTCTGTTCTTAGTCAAGCAGCCAATAACCTCTGGTATAAGGTGGCAGGCTGTGGGCCATGAGTAGTCATCAATGAAGGACACAGGGCTGTGTTTGATGAAGGCCTGTACACTCAGCTGGCAGGTTCGTGGTGTGCATTCTGCTTATGTAGATAAAAGGTTCTATGTCACACCATGTATGTTCTTTCTACCTGGCAAGGTGAATTGTAGTGTGGCCTAAAACTCCAGACTTAAGCATATGGCACTATCTATAGAAGACCAGAGGACTATTAGAAAACCATCCAGCCAGATTCTTTCTTTTTCCACAAACCATCTGCTGGAAAATTATAGGGCATACTAAGTTGTCTAATGTTTTAATAACAATAAAGCACCCACAGATCTGGGGAAAGGAGCCTATGCCCACTGAAAAGTTAATACTGAGTCTGGATATGGCAGAATTCAGGCGCGCAGGGTCTGAGGATGATTTGAATTATTATCGTAATTGAGACTTAACTGAAATGTCATTTTTTTTTTCTAGTAGCTAATATCAGTGCCCTTTTCATTAGATTGAGGAAGGGAGTCTTAAGGCTTATTTGTTGTCATTAGTATATAAAAGCTTTTCATGCTTTTGTTCTCTTGAAGTGCTATTGTGATAGCAACTCCTAAAAATTCCTTCAATTCTAATAGCTATAGGTTGTGTTTCGAGGTCCACGTCAATGGAAAGGAATAACAAGTTGACTAAATCAAAAATGATTACTGTATTGATATATGTTCCCTTAATTTTGTATGACTTGGGGACTCTTAAGATACATTTGTCCTGATTTTCCTCATCCACTGAGACCACAGGAGTTACCCTGGTTCATACTCAGAGAAAGCCATTTGGGGACTGAAATTTGCTCTGGGTACCTCACAGAATGCCTTGCAAACAACTTTTCTTTCTAAAGCAGAGTTTGTCCCAAGTTCACTAGGTTGGACATACCTCCCTGTGAAATCAAACTTCAAGACTTAACGACCAGATTTAAAAACTAAAAATGGGTTAAAAATATTATATCTAAGAGCTAATGAAGCTAGATAAAGGCCGAATGAACAAGGAGATTTTGTACTTAGAATCCCCAGAAGAGTGTGGCATGTCTGCAATTTGAAATTTCCTTGGTTATTCTGATTTTTTTCTTAAAAAATAAAATAAGCAACCTAAGTTTTAGCTTGAGTTGACATTTTAGAGTTGTTACCTTTACACTGACAAAGGCCGAGTCCATGGAATAGCCCCTTCTGGCAATTTCCAAGGGCAACATGCCCACGTTCTCACAGACCTCATATTCAGTCTGTGACCATTCAATATGAGACCACTTCAGTTCCAAGCTGTGCAAGAAATGAAGAGAAAGGGGAAATCATAAGAAATGTACAGTAAATGCAATGCCTGTAGGGATCTTCTGCTGAGTAGGAGACCAAACCACTGGTTCATACCATGGTTCATTAAACTACGTCAGTGTTAAAAATGCCTTACGCTTGTTTGATACCTTTTAGTTCATAAAGAACTTTTACTAACATTGTCTCATTTAATGCTTACAACAATGTCCTGAGGGAGACAGAGCAAGTATTAGAAATCCATTTTGCAAATGCAGAAACTAAGGTTAAAAGACTGTTGAAAGTACCACAATTATTAATGACAGAAAAAGGACTCAAACTTGAGCTTTCTAAAGGAAAAGGAAACGACACTTATGAAGTTCAAAAGGACACTCATTTTTGGAAAGGATGCTGATATGAAATCTCTCTTATCTTTTGGCCTTCTTCAGTGGTGCAACAAGAACAGTTTTAGACACAGATCTCCTGAACTTGAGTTAAGATTAAATCGCAAGTTATCTCTGAGGGTGTGCCTAAGAATTAAAATGTGCATGTGTTTTGTAACCATTATCTGTTCATTCTTTTGTGCATACAAAAGGGTTGTACTAATAATATGTAGTTTGGATGTAGCTATATACCTGAATAAACCTAATGGAGAGTAGACTTTTTCTTCACAATATAATTATTGAGACCAAAATTCGATAGAAACTCTTCTTGAATCTTTATAACGTAGGGAAAACTTCTTTCCCTTTTTTCAGAAAAGAAATCCAGGCTTAAGAAAGATTAACTAACTAGCTCAAAGGAAAAAAGCTATGGCAAAGCTAATACATAACAGAGATTAAATTCCCAGCAGAAATCTGAAGCCAAATGATTTGTTCCTCTTCTACCATCCTTCTTCTCAGTTGAGGTTCTTCAGGACTCCTTGTTGTTTGAGCTCAAGCAGAAAAGTACAGCATTATTTTTATCCTGAAATATTCTTTTTTGAGGTGAGAAAACTTAAAATGTTTCACCTAAACATTTCTCTCTAAACACATTCTTTCTTTTTTAACCCTTTCAACCTTCAGCAATTTGAAAGACACAAGCAATCTTCACCGTGATCACTTAATACACTTTCCTTGCTTTTGTTTTACTCATTTTCCTTTAATTCTACATTTACAAAACCCTCAGTAGTTGCCTTACTGTATCCCAAACTTCTAATTGGATTCAAGCTCTTTCCTCTAGAGTTAGTAAATTTATTTTTACAACTTTATTTTTCTTGCAGAACTAGAAATTCTGTGCCACTGCGAGGAGAATAGGGTTCACAGGACTCTCCTGGCTTTTCCAGGGACCATTCATAATAGCAAGTAAGTTTATCTTTTAATAACCACTTTACATACTTGCACCAATCATATGTCACAGTCGCATTCTATAGACTAAGTTCACTAACAAAATAAACTCCATAGCACTGTCTTCTACTCCAAGGACTACAGGCCAGTGGGACAAGGTAATGTGGGAGCACGGAACTATTGCAGAGGTTCGTGAATCTCTATGAACATGTTTATTCAATCAAAAATACAAAGTTTAGTGCTACTGGCATGCTGGGCTTCATCACATTTTGGCATGAAAACAAGACCCTTACATTAAATAATATTGGGACTCTCATAGGTATTTAATGCAACAGAATTCAAATCTGGCATGAAAGAGATCAAGAAACAAAGAAATAAATGACTGTGATTAAAGAATCACTAGATAACAGGCAACAAGGACATTATAAATGCCAATAGAAAAACACATTTATTATTGTTATTCTAAATAACATGTTGCAAAGAATTCCTAAAAGATCTAGCTAAATGAGAAAGAGTTTTAGTGTCTAATCTCCTGAGAATCCATCCATTGCTAATACTAACCATGACAAGCAAAAATTCATCAATGTCACTCTGCAGATCCAGGTGACCTCAAGGCATAAAGCTAAATGCAGTTTGATCTAGATTCATAAAGGGACCATGCAGAGTACTGCTCAGTTTCAAAGCATAAAGAGTCCTGGTGTTTGGGAATGTGTGTACATTTCCCTGATGCATCATTAGAATGTTGCATAATGCTTAGAGGTTAAGGTTGTTATTACACAATGTTCTGTTTTATTTTCTTAAAACTACTCACTATAAATAAAAAGATCTATTGAAAAGCCATAAAATTTAAGCCAGGCTATATATTTTCCAGAAAAATGTTTAAATTGCAAAGCACTTGCATACCTATGGGATATGTGCTACACATGTTTTGAATGTATTTTTTGTTTTTTGCAGTACAATATTTGAGAAGATCTTTCTACACTGAGACTATGGTTACTTAAACTCTACACAAACACCTGGAAGAAAAGTAAGAGGTGTCGTTAATCACTTGGGAATTCTTCTTGTGAGAAGCCACACTGCCGTATGCTTGACATCAGGTAGATAACTAGATGCAGGAGCCCTTGAAAGAAATTTGGAAAGCTCTGGACGTGTAGGTGTCATGTAGATAAGGGTTGGTTCAAAACTTCACATTTTAACGACCCCTCCCTTCTCCTATTACTGTTGAGTAGAGCTCATTCTAAGGCCAGAAATGAGGTTTCTGGATACACTTTATGCAAAATCCATATGGCAATCATTTTGAGTCATTTAACAAGAGGTGAGAACTCCTCTATTGCCTTGGTCAAGGTTTCCCAACTGTGACATTGTTGACATTTGGGACCAGATAATTCTTTGTTGTGAGGGGCTGTCTTGTGCATTGTAAAACATTTAGCAGCATCCCTGGCTTCTACCCACTACATGCAGTTACACCACTGCCCTCAGTCACAATCCAGGGGAGAAAAAGAGCAATTAGAGGGATCACTTTACAAACTATATAAATATCTAACCAATGTACTGTATGCTTGAAACCAATCAAATAATAAAATTTTAAAACATATTTAGGAAAAAAAAACTGTTTCCAGACATTTCCGAATGTCCCTTTGGGGAAAAGTCATCCCAGTTGAGAACCACTTTGCTAAGTGATTTTGAGGTACTCATCACATTAGAAAATTTGATTTAATGTGGAAACTGAATTTTGGTGCCCCAAAAGCACTGCTGTGAATGGAAGACAAAGGATAAAGGAGTGGAAATTAAATTGGATTAGAAGTCCTGAGGCTTCTGGTCCTTCTGCCACTTAGAACTCAAGTCAGGCACGAGAAAAGCTGCTTAAACACCCAATTTAAAATTGCAATCCATTCCCAGAGTCCAGCATCTGTGATGCCCCTTTATCCTGACCATCTTTTTCATTTTCCCAAGTATGTATTATGCATAACATGCTACTTGATTTTAGTTAAGATATTATGTATGTTCTAAGTGAACAGGTGTCTTCGGTTCACTGATATAGTCCCAAGTCCCTCGTAGAGTGACTAGGACCTAGTAAGGGCTCATTTTGTAAAATGAATCTTGTCTAGCCCACCGTTCCCAAGCTAAATTGACCACCAAAACTTTTTTTCTCCTCAGCCCTAATAACATCCTATTTCACACAATTTGAAAAACTGCTTAGCTAGGTGATCCTCACCTGTTCTTTCTAGCCCTGACTTACTCTGGGTTCTTTAGCTGTTATAGGACTTTATTAGAGTAGAGAGAAAGATGGCATTGATAAAAGAGCATTCTATCATATATCACAATTTCTTAACACACGTATTCTAAGGAGTGGGTGTGGTTCTCAACATTTGGCAATGTCTAGAGACAGCTTGGGTTGTCACACTAGGAGGATGGTGATACCAGCATTTAGAGGGTAGAGGCCTGGGATGCCACTAAACATCCTGCAATGCACATGACACCCAACCCAATTCCTACCCCCACTCCATGACAGAGAGTTATCTGGCCCAAAATGTTAATAGTGTTGATGTAGAGTCAAAAATATATAATCCGATATTTTATCCTGTGGATACTTGATTCCTTTATATCAATGAATTGAAAGCAACACTTGGATTAAAACTCCAGTTTGGGATCTGGGACATCAATCTAGGTTAACAAGAGTGTGTGGAAAAGGTACTTGGTCCCTGGATGCCTCAGTTTCCTCACTTCCCAAAGCATAATAATGATGGGTCTGTGCTTCAAAGGGGTTAAATGAACCTTAATGAATACTCATTAAGTATTTTGAGCTTCTCAGTGAAAGATTTTATAGAAGCTAAAATTGTGATTAAATTATTCTTATAACTAGATTTTCATTTATAATCAAGTAGCACATGACTTAAGAAAATTGAGATCTTAAAAAAAAATTTTTCCAAGTAGTCAATCTAAGACTTATCAATTCAGAGAGGATGTTATTAAGCTCCATAATCTAATGCTATGAACACCTGTGTTTTCATTTCTGTCTTTCTCTCATGATAATGGGGAAACAGTGTTTAGCCAGGAGGCAGCATAGAGAGTACCTAAACAAGTGCTTTGGAGTCAGACACATCTTGCAACCACTTATTAGTATGTGATTATGGCCAGCTACTCGCTCTCTCTGGGCCTCGGTTTTCATTATCTTTACAAAGAGGAGAATTACACTCATGTCAAATGATGAAAATTAAAATTCATTAATTTATATAAAGCACCTGTACACAGTGGATGCTTAATAAGTGTGATTTCCCCTCCCTTCCTCTGTGTTTTCCTAGATTGAGTCCGGAAACAAATACTTTAACTTCTGCCTTGCAGGTAATATGAAAGCTTTACCTAGCCAATAGTTTCAACCTCTTCCCCTATAAGGTGTTTCATAAAAGCTGCCAAACTATTGCAAAGTTTGCCTATTAGAAATTCCTCTTCTTTTTCATTTCTTTTGTCCCTTCTCCTTGAAGACCAAGAATAAATAATAGAACAGCCACGGGGAGGAGAAGAGTCAGAGTGCTTGAAATCATGCAGCAGCTGGAGAAGCAGCCTTTGAGTTATGAAGACTTCGGTGAGAGTCAGCTTTTCTTTTGAAGTTCATTTTTTGTCAGTGGACCCAAGAAAGAGGTCAGTGTAGAAGACATCAGGAAACTGCTATGGCCAGAAGTTGGCTACATTCCGTGGTCTGCAAAGGTGTTTTTGATGAACGACATGGATCCTGTGTAGTTTGCTTTGAGAATTCTGCAGACCATCTTGAGATTTGAGCTGGACTTTGAGAACAGGCATGAGCTTGTTAGAGAGTCATGCCAAGGCATGAGCTGCTAAGATGAATAGGATGAGTATGTATTCTGAGGTCAGGGTAGTAGGGTTCACTTTTGGCTCAGCACTTATCCATTTATGGGACTGCAAGCCAATCACTTAAATGCTTTAAGCCTGATTTTCTTATCACCCTCAGAGGATTTTGCTTTGCAAATTAAATTAGGCAACATATGTGAAAGCACCTAGCATAGTACCTGAAATTTAGGCACTTAGCCAAGTCTAAATATTTATGCAAATTCCATGGATTTCTGTGTTATAAAATAATCTCTGTTCACAATAAAATGTCTCCCAAATGTATTCTATGAAAAACTTGTTCCATGAGCTATTGTGGGGAATGGGGGAGAGAAGGGAGGGAGAAGTGGTTCTATGGTCAATTCAAGTTGAGATGTGCTGCATACGATATGCCTCTCTCAGAGATCTGCAGTCTATACAAGCATCTCCATAATTCTAGGATGTGATTCAGTTAAACAGTATGCAAGCTAGCTAGCTAGTAATAACTCGATTAGTCTAGCCTAAATCAGATTCCCTAACACCTTTTTTAATAGAACATCTATTGACTCTTCGAGACTGGTATTCCACAAAAACACCACAAGAGCGAAAAATTACTAGCAGTCAAGATTCTGGAACATTCCCACTGAACATAGATCTTTCTCATTTTCTTAAAAGAGTGCCCTTTCTGCTCCAGATTTCACTCACCAGTCCCTTTAGCTTTATTACAGAAGGTTTTCACCCCTTCAAATATGCAGAATGTTAAACTATTAATCCTGTCTAAGCCAAAGAACACAAAGTTGCACACCATTTAGCTCACTGACTTGTAAGCATACTGATTGTTTACTCTGCAAACCATCCCAGAATCACTTTCTAATTAGAGATGGGCTTTAGCGAGCCACCCAGTGTCTCTGAAATACTTCTTCATATAGTCAACCTTTGCACCCACATGAATGAACAACAGTAGTGAACACTAGCACAAGTTACATTTGTTAAGGACTTCAAATATACAAGGTGCTTCTATATGTTTTACCTCATTTGCTTCTCTAAACAAATTTTGGTATTGCCCCATTTGACAGATGGGATAACTAAGGCTTGAACAATCACCTAGGTCAATGGCATTGCCAAAGATCAAACTCTGTTCTTTGGCTCTAAATCCAATGGTTTATTGTTTATTATCTATACTGTAATTTCCAGTGTGTTAGACATGGCACGTACGCTAATGTTAACATCTATAATTTACATTAAAAACCAAGTAAAACTTAAAGTTCTTGAAAATTAAGTATTTGTCCTTTCTTGCTGCCATGGGGGCCAATGACTGGAGAGAGAGAGAGGCAGATAAGTCCACAGCTCCATTCCCTCTAGCCAGTCAGCATGCTTGGGTAAGGGTGGGCAAGAAGTTCTGCAGTGTATGAAGAAAACCAGGTACTCTGGAGCCACCCTTCCTGGGCCTGAAGCCTAGCTCCTTCGCGAATGAGCTGCATAAGCTTGGAAAAATCATTTCCTATCCCCATTTTTCGGTTTCCTCACCTGTAAATTCTGTATTATGATGGTACGTAACTCATAGATGGCTGTGATGATTAAATGAAGAGCCATAAAAAGAGCAGAAAACAATTATATTGCAAATGCCTGTGATTTATATTATATGTGTAACTAGGTTCTTGCTGGCTGTCTTGGAGAAAAAAACCTACTATTTATAACATTGTATCTTAATGGAAAAATGTACATCTAATAAATGAGGCAACTATACCAATCAAAAATCATGGACGTAAATGCTGACTAATTTCTATCTTCCCCTACCTACTTTAAAGAAAACAACTTAATATCTCAGAATCAAATCCAAATTATTTTTGGATTAATACCTAATAGGTGTATTGTACATCATTTCATCCCATTGGTTCCAATCATTTCAAGCTGAATTAGAAACGTCTTCAGCATAAGTGCATAAAATTGATATCTAACACAAGCAGAAGCCTATTTAAAATAGCCTCAATTAAGGATATAAATTCTTCTGTGAATCTCTTATGAATCTGAGGATTATTTAAAACTGTAAATCATCTTCAAAAGCAATGTCCTTGGTAATTGCAAGAAAGAAGAAGGGCATATAAGCGAAACAATATCAATCTAGCACCATTGCTGGAAAAATAAATTCTCTATCAGCTATGCTGTGTTTACATGTGGAGGATCAGCTATTAGCATTAGATCAGTAGCAAGCTTGATCACTATTCATATGTTTTTAGTTGAAATATTAAAAAACAAGGGAAGATAATTTATTAATGTTTTGGAGCAGAACTTTTTTTCTTTTTACATATTCTTGAGAATTGGAAGATGTTCGTCTGAAATTGCAAGTAGTTCATAGATTTTATATAAATATATGTATAATCCGGAGGAACAATTTCTCTTAAGCAAGAGCTGTTTAATGGGTGGTAGTCATCTGTTTTAATTTTATAATCTCACGATTAGATTCACATGTCAGAAGTAAGATTTTCCTTGTTCATGTCTATTTACCAGTTTGTAGTACTGTGTACCTGGCATATAGTAGCCAGTCAATAAAAATCTTTCGAGTTAATAAATCTGGGCCAGGTACTACACTTTATCAGGGCAATGGAGGTGTGGAACCCTGGGAAACTGGGTAGGGGGTGGTTTTGTTTGTTAGTTTTGAGGATGCCAGTTTTTCCTAACAATGACTACAGAGACCTCTGCTGGTGAAATCTGGAACTACAATCCAGGATCAAAAATAAAAAGCAAGAACGAAGAGAGCAGAGGAAAATTTGTTTTCCATAAAGGTGCTGTACTCACTTACAATGTGTAGTCTGACTAGGATATGGTGAACACTAAAACTAGGATGAACAACTTTTCTTGGAAGTGGCTTGGAAGGGTACCAGATTGAAAAAGAAAGGAAAAACACAGCACAAGAACTAGACTATGAATAACCTTTCTATACTTATCGGATAGCTGATAAATTACTCAAGGGCTACCTACAGTCAAGAAAAGTCTACAATAGGAACCCATGACTGAGATTATTACAATCTGTAAATCTAGTTAATTTTGAGGATTTGTTATACTTGTCATTCTGAGGGTCGTATATACTTCTGTCACTAAATACCTCCAAGACCATTTTCCTCTTTACACCATCTTAATCTTATCTATGATAGGTTTATTAACTTCTAAAGGCAGTCTTAAGTAATCATTTGTTTGTTTCTTTTTCTTTCTTTCTTTCTTTTTGAAAGAGAGAGCTGTTTTGCTAACTGTTCCTGACTACCTCATTCTTCCCACTCTAGATATTTTATGAAACTATGGTTACTAACACAGTCCTAGAGTGACCCCTTGCTGCATGATTTGTACACAAGCCTGCAAGCTCAGTCCTAGGTGCCAGTGAACTGTCAAGACAGAAAGCTCTCTGTGTGTGAAGGTATATGCATTTGCATGCAAAAATTGAATGCCCTAGCACTATACAACTTAACTTTTTAATGTTTTCATACTCTGTAAAGCTACTGGCTTTCCTACTATCAAGCAGTAATAGAAAGACAAATCCCTCTCCGAAATAAATTCCATGAGCTTGTGAAATCGTCAATTTATCCTCTTAGATTCTGTTTGAAAAAGAACACTTCACTTTCCTAATCAGATACATTCTGGACATTATATGCAGGATTATGGAATAAGCAAAATAATTTACATTTGAGGAGCAGCTGAATTCCCTGTAGGGTCCATGATTTGAAATTCCATGATATCTGAATTAAATTCCAAAGATGAGTTTATGATGTAAAGAATGGTCTTACTGTTTAAGTCCTTTTGGTTAAATTTCTCATGGATAAATTCACCTACAAAAAAGAAATAAATGAATTTAATGAGAAACTAAACAAAAAATTAAATGAGTTGATAAAATTGTATAGCTATTTTATTTTAAACTCAGCTTTAAAAATAGCCAATGTATATTTTTAAAGGAAATTAACATTATTACAACTATCTTAAAACTCATATGCAATGAACTTAAATTAGTCTTTAAAATTTACTTTGTCTCAGAAATATTGTGTATTAAAGAAAATGTAATATTAGAGGGAGAGTAGAAAGATACAGTAATAAATTCTATAATTCTGTGGCATCTTTTTTAGTGATACATTTTGAACATTGTCTTCATAAAGCAGAAATAATATACAATCCAGAGAAATCATTCTACCAAAAAAACCCAGAATTTTTTTAAATGACTGACATAATTTAGAATTTATGATAGAAAAAATTAGTCGCAAATATGAATTTGGTCCTGACATTAAATATTCCTCTGAATATATTATAATCTGGCTGTTGGAAAAAAAAGTTGTAAACAACAGACGTCATACAATAAAATAATACATCAATATTTGGTTCTCCCACTCAAGATGAATTTAGGAAAGCACAGCTTCAAACCCTCTTTAACGCCGGTATTGATTTATAAACTGCATGTATCAGTAAGCCCTGGGGAATGTTTACCAAATGGGCCTGCACTTAATTAAATTACTCTCTAGCATTGCCAGCCACTGGGTATTTTAAAATGAGCAATTACAAGGATTAAGGAAGGCAGTACCTGTTGTTGTGTTCTCCAGATGTCCACGTTGGGGGCCTCGTAAAATCTTAAAGATGATCTGATCATCATCGGTGTCAGGGTCCGATGCCTTCAACACACGGGAAGTGATGTAAATTCCATAACAGCCATTTTTTAGAAGTGCTATGTGAGAAGGGGAATGCACATGTACGATGTGGGGGGCTGTTTTGTCCAACTGGTCCACCTGAGTTGTCAATAATTACATACAATGTTATACATCCCTCTGGGGACTTAATGATTAACAATGACAAACTCTCCTAAATTTCAGATTTCTTATCCTCCTCATTTGTTAATTTCTGCTAAAGATTGTCTTGTTCACAATATCCTCAGCAAATACCATAGTGCTGGGAACAGAGGTAAACTTTCTATTGTAAATCTTAACACAGCTTTATTTGTCTGTCTCCTCCATTAGGAAATAAGCTCCCTGAGGGCAGACACTATGTCTGTTTTCCCCCTATCTATTCCCTGCAACTGGCACAGTGCCTGAACCATAACAGGAGCTCAGGGAATATCTGCTGAATGAATACATTAAAATTGACCCAAGAATTGTATCACAAACAATGTTAGATCCGCAGAAGGATATCCCCGTTTTCCCAGTACTTGGCGATGTACAGAAACAAAGTTATAAGGTTTACAAATGCAACGAACATTTTTTTTGCATGTCTTTGTTTAAGTGGCAAAAATGTTCAATAAAAATAGAAATATCTTAGTAAGAAAAAAGTGAGAAGTGACTATAGGCATTTGTGAATTTGTTTCATTGAGGATGAGAACCAGGTAACTGAACAGGTGGACTCAATTTGTGAAGACAGTGGATGGATGATTACTCATGAGTGGAAGGGGTGTATAGGTTCAAACACTACAAAGGGCTTCATTCAGTTACGGTATGGAGCTAAGTCCATCTTGAGAATAACTTGTAGTTAGGGATGGAGGAGTTTTGATGGATCAGCACAATTCACCAATAATACTAGAAAACACGTGTAAGAACACTACCTTCATTCTTCAATTCTTAACTTAATTTATCCAAAAATTACTGCTAATCTTGGTTCACTAAAGAGAAGTAAGGAATAAGTGTCAATGATAAGTCTGTAAATTTTTCTTGTATGTGATGATATAAAAAGGAAGAGATGGGATGAACTGATGATGAATAATTTCCATGATGCAGTGTTAACTGAGAAAAATAAAACAGCAAATTGCAGAATACAAGATGACTATAATATCATTTTTGTTCAAAACTAATACATAAGTTTATACATAGGTAAAATTATGGGAGCATATATACAAACATGTATATTTGTCTTGAGGTTGGGAAAAGTTACCATTTCTCCATATGGAATTTTGTAACAATCAAATATTTTTTCTTCTCAAGTTGGCAAGGTCATTTTTAATTAACAAAAATAATCATAAGAAGTTGAAGATGACACAAATAAATGGAAGGCTATACCATTCTCATGGAGTGGAAGAATTAATATCATTAAAAAGTCTACACTACCCAAAGCAATCTGCAGATTAAATGTAATCCCTATCAAGATAACGATGACATTTTTCACAGAACTAGAATAATCCTAAAATTTATATAGAATCACAAAAGCCTCCAAATAGCCACAGCAATCTTGAGAAAGAACAACAAACTTGGAGGTAATATGCTTCCTTATTTCAAACTTTACACAAAGCTACAGTAATCAAAATAGTATAATACTGGCACAGAAAGCAGACACATATATCAATGGAACAAAATAGAAAGTCCAGAAATAAACCTATGATTATACGGTCAAATAATCTACAACTAAAGAAGCAAGACTATATAATCAGGAAAAGACAGTCTCTTCAATAAATAGTGTTAAGAAAATTGGATGGCTACATGAAAAAAGAAAGAAAACAGAAAAGAAAAGAAAAGTGAAAAAGAAACCGAACCAGTTACTTACACTATACAAAAGAGAAACTCAAAAGAGATGAAAGACTTAAATGTGAGACTTGAAACCATAAAACTAGAAGAAAATAAAGGCAATAAAATCTTTGACAACAGTCTAAGCAAATTTTTTAGATATGTCTCCTCAGGCAAGAGCATCAAAAGTAAAAATAAACAAATGGGACTACATCAAACTAAAAAGCTTTTGCACAGTGAAGGAAACCATCAACAAAATAAAAAGGCAACCTACTTAATGGAGGAAGATATTCACAAATGACATATCTAATAAGGGATTAATATCCAAACTATATAAAGTATTTACACAACTCAACATCTAAAAGAACAATCTGATTAAAAAATGGCCAGAAGACCTAGATAGACATCTCTCCAAAGAAGACATAGAGATGGCCAACAGACTCATGAAGCGATGCGCCACATCAGTAGTCATCAGGGAAAGGCAAATCAAAAACACAATGAGCTATCTAGCCCCTCACACCTGTCAGAATAGCTATTACAAAAAAAGATGACAAAGATATTGCCGCCAGGAGGAGAGATGGGTAATGTCAGGAGAGGAAAAATAAAAATACTTCAAGCCATGTAAGAAATTCTCAAAGTTGATAAACAAAAGTGTTACAAGAGGAATAAATACTTTTGATAATTTGTTTTTTTTTTTTTAATATTATTATATGGTCCCCTGTTTGCTTTTGGTCATGCTTGTGCTAAAATGTATCCTAGTCTTATTAAAATTCTAGATTCTTCAAAAGCAGGTCTTATGTCTCAATATATTAGAAGCATTTAAAAATATTGGAGTGTAACATTTTTTTTTAAAGAAGGCTATGTTCATAAAAGGTCATATAGCAAGATACAGTAACACAAATAATGGAATTTAAAAATATAAAACAAGGCATATAAGTACTGTTTTAAGGAGTCCTGTATTAGTAGGTTCTGTACAAGAACAGAAAAAGTCCTTGACCTGGAATAATCAGAGACGGTTTTATAAAGAAATAAGAATCCCTGAAGAGTGGCTGGGGATTAGGAAAGATGAAGGAAAAGGGAGGGCTTTCATGGGGGAGAAATGTATCTATAGTCATGTAAGAAATGACCCCAAAGCATACTGACTTGATACCATAATGATTTATTTTTTCAAAAAAAGAGAGAAGGCTATATCCTTAAGATAACTTGTATTGGATTTACTGAAAATCTGGGACATGCCTAATCCAGAGAAAGCAGTGATTCTGGTCCTTTGTCCCGCACCTCCAGCCACATACCATTTTAAGGAAGATTACAGAAATCATTGTAGCAAGATTACAGTACCTTGGTCAGACAGACCTTATTTATATAAAATGAATGTCAGATTAGTGCCTGCTGGTATCAGTAATATGCTCCTGTATTTTGTGTTTAAGTCCAGTAGCTTTGCCACCCAAAGCTCCCAAGGTTAGAATGGTAAGAATAGTACACCTACACTTGGGAAACTTAATTGTACATATTCATCACTCAGTAGTGGATGACATCATATTGTCTTGCCAAAAAAGCTCTTAAAGGCAATAGACGGGGTCATCTCTCCTGCACTGCTTGGGGCTGAGAGTGGTAACATTTCCTAAACCTCTTGACCTCTCTGCTCAGAGAGACCAGGGCATTTAGGGACATTATGGGAGAAAGTTTGAGGCTTTCTTTCTGAGTCTTTTTACATATAATAAATTTTTTTGGCAAGTAAAAATCTTGTACTTTAGATGAAAAAGAACCTTTAGAACATATATCTAACATTTTCCTATCAGTAAATTCTGCAAATTCCAAGAGGTAAGTCTCTTACAATAATCACGCTCTTTAAGATGAGGGGATTCAGGAGTCAAGAAAAACATATTAATAGACTGAAGAGTGAGATGAGACTAATTACAATGAAAACATAATAAGAAATAAAAACACAATCTTACTACATACAAAGTACTTCTCACATACTGTGTCAATGATATCAATACCTTCTCTCTTCTCCTAGCACATCATTATTTCACTATCTATTCTGGACTTCCCCAGTGCCAATAACTCATCAAGCACCCACTCTATATTATCATGGCTCCCCACCTTTCTACTCAAATCTCATCTTGGATAGAGACTGAGGTAGTTAATTTTATGTGTCAACTTGGCTGATCTATGATACCCAGTTGTTTGGTCAAACACCAGTCTAGATACTGCTGTGAAGGTACTTTTTAGATGTGATTTAACATTTAAATCAGCAGACTTTGAATAAAGCAGATCACTCTCCAGAATGTGGGTGGGCCTCATCCAATCAGTTGAAGGCCTTAAGAGAAAAGATGAAAGTCCCTTGAAGGGGAAGAAATTCTGCCTCCAGGCTGCCATTGGACTCAAGACTATAAAACCAACTCCTGTTGGAATTGTCATCCTGTTGGCCTGCCCTGAAGATTTTGGATGTCAGACGCTATAATTGTGTGGGCACTATAAAACCAACTCCTGTTGGAATTGTCATCCTGCTGGCCTGCCCTGAAGATTTTGGATGTCAGACCCTATAATTGTGTGGGCCAATTCCTGAAAAAAAAAATCTCTCGCTATATATATATATATCTCCTATTGCTTCTGTTTCTCCAGAGAATACTGACTAGTACAGAGTCTAAAGAGCAAAGGAAAATTATTATTATTTTACATAATCAGAAAGTATACTGAGGTAAGAGACAGATTTATATATTTTTTTGCTGTTGGTAGAGGTGTATAGAATAGGGTGAACTACATCCAAGAAGAGCAGATTCAAGGCTTTGAGAGCCAGAACATACTTGATCTATTTTGACTAAAAAAAAAAATGTATTATGCCCTCCAAGAATCATCATAATAGTCAACACAAATGTGGCAATGTAGTGCCACAAAAAGAACACTGAAGTGGGATCAGAAAGACTTGAGGTTTTTAGGTATGTTTGATCAAATTATTTAACTTCTAAACTTCTGAACATCTATAAAATGGAAAAAATAAAATGTATCTCATAGAAGTTTTATGAAAATTAAATATGTAAAGTGGGTCTGACTTATAGTTAACATTCAAAAAATTACAGCTGCTACAAATATTATACTCATCATTATTACATGTGTAATATTCATGCTGCCTTGTACGTTTTCATATGGTTAGTTGAAAGCCACTAACAGGCCAATAGGTGACATGGACCAATAAGTATCATAAAAGTATAGTTAGGTATTGTAACAGTAGTTGTAAGACATTAAATATCTAATATGTTTCAGGCAATATGTAGGTGCCTTGGATACCTAATCCTACTTAATTCTTACCACAATGCTGTAAGGCATGTTTTTCAAAGAAGGAAAAATAGAATTGGAAGGGTTAAAGAGCTCTTTTAAGTTCACGCAGCTAATAAATGGTAAAGTAAAATTTCAACCTAGGTGTATTTGACTCCACAGCCCGTGGATTTTGTTTCTTTCTGTACTACCTACCAATGACTCTTAAGGTCAGTCATTAGCTCATATTCAGGGACCACATCTGTTTGTTCATGTTAGTATGTCTGGTGCCTTGCTTGGTGCCTTGCTTGGTGCCTGGATGCACAGTAAATCTTTGAATGAAAAGGAAGGAGATAAGGAAATAGTTCTGAAAGTCAATTTCTCCACATCTGTGGCAAGAAACTGTATATTTGTCATACTTGCCTGGATGGTGAATGAAACAGGTTCTTGCCACACTCTCCCATCCACAACAAAGCCTTGGTTAGTCCTATCTGTGGCCACAAAAGTAAAGTGGTCAATCTGAGACTCCCCTCCTGAGTGCCTGTAAGCCACATTCTTGCTGTCTATATCCTGCTGAGTGAAATTGTGTTGAAGCAGCACTGTTTCCTGCAGGTAGAGCTGGCCATGTTGTGGGAGCTGGGCCAAAAGGTAGGTGAGGTTCTCTGCTGGAGTGTCAGGGTCGGTCAGCTGAAGGAGGTCAGGGGAAAGCAGGCCCATGGCCCCTTCAGCCAGTTTCAGCCCCCTGTTCCGGGTCACCACGGGTAAGGCTCTGTCCACAGTCTCCAGGATGATCTCAAACACGCCATGCTTGGTCTGCAGTCCATTGCTGACGATGAATCTGGCAAAGAGAGGCAAGGCAGCCTTCAGCATGGATTCTTGTGTCACCATCTACTGGAATGAAATGATAACAACACACACCTTTACTAGAGGATATGTCGTGTTGGGACTCAATTGAAAAATCAAGGGCAGATCTTTCAGAAGGACATCTATTCATTAAACCAGTCATTAGGAAACACACGAATTGTCCAATGTACAACCAAAAGTATTTTCTCACTAATATTGATGGTAGACTCTTGTGATGGAGCAGGCTAATTCTGCCAATGATATTTCTCAGGCTTATCAGTGCTTAGTTAGTTCCTTGCCCCATATAGGAATTTCATATCCAATTAGATTCACTGTATGAATTTAAAGAGTATACTCATTTTATGTATTTATACTTTTGCAATTGTATTTTTTTTGTGGAAATTTAATAAGCTAAACTTTTAAGACTAATAATTGAGGCCAATACAATAAAGTGTTGAGTAGGCTGAATTTGGCTAATTCACTGTATTCATATATTTGTAGTATATTTCTTAGGGGCAGATGACATTACTTGGCTATGTACTTGTGTCTCATTTCCCCTTTCTGGGCCTCATTTTCACTCTTCTGTAAAGCGAAAGATGACCAAATGATCGCTAAGTATCAAACAACTCTAAAATATCATATGATGCTGTAATCCCTTACTTTTTCGGTGCTTCTACATTTGCCCCTTACAAAATATGTAGGAGTTATGATAGACAAAGATTACTTCCCTGCTTTAAAGAAAAGAAAATTATAGAAGAAAGTTCAGAAATGTGGTGGGAGATCACAAGGTAGGTAGGAGACAGAGCTGGAACTAGAACCCAGGTCTTTGGACCTCACGTCTTTTGCTCTTGCAGAGTTTTTGATAAACCTGGTTTAGCAATCCACTAAGAAAGAGTGGTGGTGCCTGAGAACCTCTGCAGAATTATAAAGAGAAAGCTGAAATACAAATTTAAGGTAAGCAAAATCTCACAATCTTGAGTTTGTGATACCATAAAGTGCTTTTGATTATATTGATCACTAAATTACATTCCACCCACCACTGCCAATCTCAAAATAAAACTAATTTATTTTTAGAACATTTCAATGTGTAATTTTTATTTTAAAAAGAATCGAGTATCATGAAATTAAGCAAACAAATATACTATTACAACTCCAAAAAGTTAAGAAATCACTATTCTTAAATGGAATTGACAAATTCACCATACACCCAAAAAATGTACTTCAAAATAATCATGGAGTTGTGTCTATTAGTTTTTCTATGGACCATAGTTGCTGGAAATATTCATGGATAATACCCTCATATTCCATGAATGCAAAAATCTGAAAAGAATTTTAGTTGACTATAGCATTCAATTATATAAGAATTGTCTTTGTAGGTTCTTTTTTTTGCACTAGAGAAAATATGCAGTTTGTATTTATTTTACTAATCTGACACATTTGTCTTCCAAGTTCTTTATTCTTTGCAAAATGTCTCTTGTCCTTCAAGGTTTAAGGGTTGTTGCTTTGCTTTTGAACCTGAAGGAACCTGAAACCAGGTTGTGTGAGTGCAGTAAGTGGACCAGCTTGCCTGAGGCACAGACTCAGGGAAAAGAGCAGCTGGACAAAAAGTAAAGGGAGATGAGTTTGGCTGATACAGATTTTGCTTTGAAGGCGAGGCTAAAATTTCTGAGCTTTTTAATTATCTAGTTGATAAGACTGCCTGCAAGAAAAATATGATGCATAGAAAAGTAAATATATGTCCAAAACCTTAAAATTGCTAAGAGAAATATAACAAAGCAAATTTCAACATTTCACACACCCACCTTGTAAAGAATGTGACCTGGTTTTTCCCCACAGCATTATTTTACAGCCTGAATAAGGGTATTGAATTAACTTTAGAATTGTAGATACAGCAAAATCACCTTGTTTCCTTAAAATAAAACAATCAGTTTTCCTTTTATAAAGCTGAACTTTTGATAAATAAATTCTAACCAAATAGAGTAATTTCACTGCTGGATTATGAAATGTTTACAAAATTAGTTCTTTTTATAAAAAAGAAAATAGAAGACCCAGAAAATAGAAGAGGACCCAGAAAAATATCAACTTTTTTCTTATTAGACACCTCGACAGTTTCAAAGGTCAAGTGATATGCATTATAAGGTATAAAAATCATGGTCTACTTCTCAGGGAACGCTTTTCATGGAATAATACCTTTATTTATTGTTTTCTTGCTATTTTTTCACATTTCCTTTCTGAAGCCTATCACCTGATTAGAGGTAAAACAAGGAGGAAGCTAGGCATTCCCTCAGTGATTTCAATTTCCCCCTTTTCCATTTAATCCCTCAATAAACATGTTTCATGTCTCCCATTTTACCCTCCTCCACAAATAAACTGGCTCTCTATTCTTTTCCAGATCCCTATTTCAAAATATGATCTTGTGGAGAGTTTTAAACCAGCCTTTGACGGTTTAGCACAAATTTAAACCCAAAGACATGTATTTTTTGTATTAGCACTAATTGTGGACTTAAAGACTTTTGCTCCGTTAAAATATGTCAAATATCAGTGGAGAAGGAAAGGGATAAAAGGGGAGAGACAGGGGTCATGAGCAAGGAGGTTAAGTGGGAGCTCCAGTGACTGACAGGGGCTCAACCGGAGGCAGCCATTTTGAATATGTGATTCTGACTATTTTCTCTAGAGACTAAATTCTGAAAATTCCTAACTGGGTCCTCAAAGCTCATCATCAGGACAGCTGCTTTTATCTACAAGTGTGTGACCTGTGTGAGGTCACTGAAGTTGTCTTATGATTCAGGCTGTCCATTTCAAACTCTTCTCTGCCTGATGATGGGGATCTGACCATGTCGGATATCGGCAGCCTGCCATCAGACAGATGGGAATGAGGGCAAGCAGGGCAGGGACCACATAAGAGAAAGAAATATGTTTACTGAGGCCAGTGTTCCCAGCTGGGATACCAAGGCAGCTGTCTGCATTGACCTAAAGCTAATAAGCCAGTGGTGAAAAGGATGCAATTTCTAAACATGACTGGATCAAACACATCATTCACTTTTACGAGTAACAATGCAAACTACTAAACACTATTAGGAAGAAAGAGAGAGACAGACAAGACAGACAAAGAGACAGAGTGCACAGTCATGGTTGGCTTCCCAGTCAAAATAAGCCTAGCGGAACAAGTACAACAAGGTCAGTGCTGTTCGTGTCTTCAAAAGTTAATCAGATGATATTCTAAATGTTCCCCTCCCTCCCCCAACAGAAACCCTCCAAATGTATTCTCAAGTTTTAAAACAACAGTGCCATTGCTATGATGACATCCGTTCCAAGGTTAAGAAGCTGGAAGTGTCGAGGTAGCGGCCCCTTCTGTGAGTCTATTTTGTTTAATTTCCCTTATTATACTTCCCTGAGAAGCGACACAGCCAAGATGACCACTGTTCTGATGAAATTTGGGAAATGACTCTCAGATTTGTCTGGGTGCCTGCCTGGTCTGATTTCACCATTACCATGGTGCTTTCAGGCTTTCTGCATTTCCTGGCAATGGAGTTGGCTGAAGAATCTGCCATCTGTCATGGCATTTAAAGGATAAAAATGGAATCATAAATAGAGCCAGTTCCTCAGGAAAAAAAAGTCCAGCCGGCATGTCAAAATGGAGGACATTAGCATGTTCTTTTAGTACATGGCTGCCAGCAGCTGAAGTCAGCTTGCTAATCACTTGGTGTCATCTGTCCTAGAATGTGCTGCCAAATCTTTCTTCCAGGCCAGCAGCACCAAACAATGCTGGAGAAATTTATGATTCACAAAATATTTCTGCAGAAGGTAAAATCTGACCATTAAACTCCCCCGCCCCACACCCTGTTTAATTAATGTTGCCGTATCTTACATTAAAAAGAGAAGGGGGGAAAAATCCTCTGCCACAGAATTTATCTCCACTACCCAGCCAAATTCCTTGCCAGATTTAACAGCAAGCAACATAAATTTAGGTGATTAGGTTGGTTGCATATATTTAATTTTTTAAAAGCACCATGATCATACTTTCATTAAAATAGGCTTTCAGCTTTGGTTTAGCGCCACTTGACAAACAACACAGCAGTCCATGATTCGGTTAGGAAAATGACAAGATTAAAACAAGGGTCTTGGGCAGATGCTACATGCTTCCATTATAATACGTAAAACTGCTGGCCAAATATCAGAATGACACACCGAGGAGGTTCCTTTGCATTAAGTACAGATTCTCCACAAATTATTGGTACAATGAGGTATAATGTAAAGAACTCTCCAAAATGAAATCTCGGCCCAAATTCAGCTCTGATACTCAGCTATGTCAGTTAAGGTGACTTTCTTTGCCTGTTGGACCCTTAGTTTTCTCATGCATAAAATGGGAACAAACCCTCACTCTTAAGGGGTTGGTGGAAGGAAATATATACACTAAAGGGTCTAATAGACTGATGCGTTGTAGATGTTCAAGCAACACTGGCTTTCCTTCATGTAAATGAAAGGACTGGCCTAAATCAATGCTTTCAACCTTTGTTGTTTGTTTATTCTCCGCTTATAGACCTGTTTCTTAATCTTGAGTCATTCAAAATTCACCTTCATAATTTTTGCCATTTGCCTGTAATACCTGTACTCTTATTATATAACATTTTTCTTTATATCAACTGACTTTTTTTACTAAATAAATATACTTGATAGGAAATCTTTTAACTATTGAAAACTAAAACTTTACTAAAAATTTTCTGAATATTACAAAAATACATGTAAGAAAAGTATGTTTTTAATTCTAAATAGGTATTGTTGCTTGTTAAAAATGGGAAAACAGTAAACATTGAAAAGCTGTTAAGGACATATTAGCATTAACCTGAGACTTCCTTCTTGAAATCATCAGAAGGAAGGAGAGAACTAAAAGGGAATAGTTTCTCACACTTGATTCCCTTCTTCCTGTGCCAGCCCACCTCATTTGAATCTTTATATCACTGCTGGTACAAATCACTCACTTTAAGAAATAGAGCCATAGCCTTTTTGCTAAGAGAAGACCTTGCCCAGAAGAAGCCTAGTGTGCAAAACAAACCAAAAATCAAACCATCGAAACACAAAACCAAAAAAGGCTCTATTAATAAATTGGGGAGAAGACCCAGAGCCTCACCAATTCAACCCCTTCATTTTTTTGTCTCTGGGAGGCTGTGAGAGAGCTTCTGTATATCCTCAAAACTTTTCAGAACGTATTTAGAAAAATGGACTGGACCAGACCAGTGATTGCTGGTCCTGACAGCATCAGAATCTCCTGGAGAGCTTTAAAGAATACAGACTCCTGGGACAGGACTTACCGAAGTCATTTCTCTGCAGTGAGGCCCAAGAGTTCGTATTTATATAAATCTCCTAAGTAACTCTCTTGAGGATCTAGAAATTTAGAAATTCCTGGGATAAATGATTTCTAAAATGTCATCTAGTATGACTTTCTGTGGGTATAAATCAGGAAAACTTTACAGTATCACCAATCCTCACATATGGAGATTTTGTTTTTCATTCTCAGCTCATTACCACCAGCTGATTAATACCTAACATTCGTTTTTGAACATCTTTACACATTTATTCATTGGTTTCTTCAGCAGGGGCACTGGTTTCTCCAATACAGTTATTAATGTCTTCACCAGACTCTCTAGTGGGCACTGACTGGGGGGAAGGAGGAATAGAAAAGAGCAAGAAGTTCTGAAAAAACAAATGTAAAATTAAAAGCCCAGAATCTGATATACATGTATGAAACCAAGAAGTATCACTCTCCATTAGTAAACATGGAAAAAAGAACAATCTTTGTAACTTCTTTCCTCCTCCAAGACTATGCTTGGTGTTGTAAAAATCCAAGAGGAAAAGGAAGCCAAGGAAAGAATATAAAAACATGATAACAACCATAGTAGTAGTAATAATAACAGCTAATATTTATTTTGTTCTTCCTATGTGCCACATTTTGTTTTAAGTACTTTATATGTATAAGCTCATTTAAACTTTCCAATGACTCTGTAAGGCAGGTACTATAAGCATCATTCCTTTTCACAGAAGAGGAAATAGGAGCGCAGGAGGATGTGTGACTTGATGTAGGCTAGTGGAGGTAATAATTGGAAGTAAATGGACAAAGTAAGGGAGGCCATAATTGACCTCAAGCCAGTGCCTCAACGAGTATTCTATACCACTTCTTGAGCAAAAGAATCAGTGTGAAGAAGAATCCTTATATCTCATTTTATTTTGTTAATGACTAGTAACATTCAAGCACTGAATCGGTGATAAAGATAGTGATCAATCAAATGATTATCAAATGATTATCGCTTTTTAAGGACATTTATCAAAAGAAAAAAAGAAATTAGTTCAAACTTCCCTGAATTTATTATTTAACAGTTGAACTACATTAATCACACTAAATACTAAAGATAAGCAAAATCATCTTTACTGACATTTAAACAGTGTTTATAGCAGACATATTGACTTTAGATAGATAAAATATATAATAGAGAGTGGTAGTTGAACATGGGTGTAACAGTACACCTAATAGTTTATGAGAATCCACTGAATAATACAGGATTATGCTACATTTATAGAGCTCTTTTGAAGAGTTTGTTCTGATGCGATGAAAATTATCCAGAAGCCCTGGATATATGGCAGATGAACTAATGTTCTCAGTGCCTCCCTCTTAATTGGTAAAACTCAGGGTTGGATATGTACCATAGTTCTCCCAAAGGCAAGTCCAAAATTTCATGGTTCTCACCCCTGCCCTGAAGACCTATATTTGCATCAAGGACCTCGAGTTCAGCCAGCTTTGAGAACTGCTAGAGGATAGATCCTCTAGAGTCTCTCTTGCTTTATGTGACTGGAAACAGATTTCAATATTTTAAATGAATATCGACTTTTATTAATGTTGTATCTTTGCCTTTTCACCAGATTGTTATTTCCAATGATTTATTTGATACAGAATCCCTGAACAGGTGCACAGACCCCAATTATAATACTGTTTCTTTGGGGAAATATGATCCACTATATGACAACATGATTTATGATGTAGTTACCAGAACACATTGTGTCACAAGGCAGTGTCTGCTTCTGCCAAATGTTTACTAGTAAATACCTTTTCTTCATATAGAAAAACATACTAAAACAAGTGATAAATTATTTTTCTATGTCTCTCCTTAGCTGGCATCCTCAGCTCTTCACATTCCTCCTCGTAGAACAGCTTGCGTTTAAATCTGCTTGTGTGTTTATTTTTAAATAAGTCCTGATTTCTTGCCCTTGCTGTTGTCATTTTAATTATGTACCTTCACCTTTATACAGCTGGGCAGTAGAAGAAGAATATAGCTATACCAGAGCTAGAAAATGACCCATTTTTTTTCCCCTCATTTTGTCTTTCTAAATTTTAATACAGGGAAACGGTTCTGAAACGTTTCCTTGGCTCACCTGAATGTGTCAGTGGAGACAGGTTCCTTGCTCTTATGTACATAGCAGACTATCTGTCCTGCTATGTCCATTTGGCTAAAACTTGTAATGGGGACTCCAGGATAGCGGACATATTCCACCTGGCCATATCGCGGTGGGGAGGTGATGACGTAGAGCACTTCTTCAGGCTTGTCTGTTCCATCCAAAGCAAGAAGAGTGGTGGTCGTCAAGAAACCTCTGCCACCTTTAGACACCACAAGTGGTTTTGCAAGGATGACAATATCACCTGCACAGCAGAAGAGGTGGTGGTCAAGAATCCAATTCAAAAAGATAAAACGTCCAAGGTAAAAGTAAAAAATAAAGGTCAAATGCTGCAGAACTCAAAACTCATACACTGTAGAAAGGTTTATATAACTATGATTAATGAAAGAATTAGGCAAAAGAAATAGGAAGATGTAACACAGAAGAGGAAACACATATAGCCAATAAAAATGCAGATAGATTTGCAATCTCAATAATTGTGGAAATACAAATCAAAATCACAAAATAACTGGTCATCTCATAACCCACTGGCTGGCAAAAATGTAGAAGTCTGATGACACCAAGTATTGAAGCGGATGTAGATCAAGAGACTCTTTCATATGATTCTGGTAGAAGTATAAATTGTTACACAATCTGCCATTATTTTTGTAAAAAGTTTAATATCTAGCACACATGCCTTGACCCAGTGATTCCACTCCAACTGTGTACTGGAGAGAAACATGTATGCTGGCACCCAGGAGACACATACCGGAATGGTCATCACAGCCCTGTTTGTAACTGAAAACACTAAAGCAACCCAAAGCCTTTTCAAAAGATGAATGTGTAAACAAACTGTGGTCTATTCATACAACTGACTCTTACATAATAGTGACAAGAATGAACTACAGCTACATACAATACAGAGGTAGTTTATTAGTATTTGTTACTTTTGTGAGCAAGTCTCAGAAAACTATAAACAAAAGTAAGAAAATAATTAGCACAAAATTCAGGATGGTGGTTGTCTCTGGAGTATGGGAAATGCACAGAGGTAGATGTTCATTACTGTTTCTATTCCAGTCCTGAATCCTATGGTGGTCGCACAGGTGTTTGTTAAGTAGTTTAAAAAGAATGTATGGATGAGCGAATGAATGAGTGAAGTAGAGTAGGTCACACGTGGGCTAATGGAGCAGAGTTTTACAAAGTAAAGATTATAATATAATTTCAAACATTAAAAAAAGGTTATAAGTAAAATACAGAGCTTCTACTTTGTGCCAGGCACAGGGCTAAGGATCTTACACCTTCACACCAGTGTAGGGTATTATCATACTTCCGGGTTATAAATGAGGAAACGAAGGTGTAGAAATGCTAACTTGCAAATTATTACACAATTAATAAAAGGTGGAGCCATCTGACTTAAGAGCACAAATTCGAACTATATTATTTTGTTCCCTCTTTTTAATATATAGGGATTTCTTATAAATCAATACTAAAAGGATGAATATCCAAAAGAAAATATGAGTGAAGTAAATGTCAAGCCAATTCTAAATTAAAAAATACAAATGGTCAATAAAATTTTGAAAAGATATTGAGTCCCATGAAGAAACAAAAACTGAAAATAAACATCAAAGAGGTAGAACTTTAGCTGTGTGCTTCTCAGTGAGGGGCCATTTTCCTCCCAGGGACATTTGGCAACGTCTGGAGACATTTTTGGTTGTCATAATTGAGAGTCGCTATTGGCTTCTAGTACTAGAAGCCAGAGATGCTACAAAATGTCCTACAAGGCACAAGAATGTCCATCACAACAATATATCATATATTCCAATAGTAAAATGTCAATAGTGCCAACATTTGAGAAACCTTGTTTTAGATGTCAATTTAGTCTTTTTGGTATACTATGCTTTTAACTCAAAATGTCATGCAACTTATGTCCAGTGTAGACTCAATGACCATCCTTACTTTAAATCAAAACCCTAGCCCCACATGCTTCAGAGGGAATAAAGATGAACACATCAAAGCAGTGAGAAGAATGCACAAAGATTGGGAAAACAAAATTCACCCATAAGAGGTTTCATCAGGAGCAGAAGATGGATCTGAGGGGAGAGAGAGCATCTGGGTTTTGCCTCAATGGTTTTTCAATACTGTAACGGCAGAGTATGGAGTAGGGTCAACTACAGATGATGTCCTTCTAAACTCCTCTCAAAGATCTTCACATCATTTTAGCCACTGTCCAAATCAGAAGACAGAGCACATTGGAAGGCCTAATGTTATTTATAATACCTCCCAAATAGAAATAACCCAAATACTCAATTTTAGAGTTATGATTTAGCCTAACAACTCAGTGCAGGTTTCATTTAGAGATGAACAATGGTGGTTACAAAATTATGCTGCAACTTGGGAAAACTCATGCTAAGAAAAAAAGAGGATACATCTAAAAAACTAAGATGTAAAAAAAAAAAAGAAGAAATTTGAAACTTCTGACAATGTTAATAATGTTAATAGGTTAATGTACCTACTTGATGTAAGTGTCCACAATCCTTTTAGAAAATAATCACATGTCAGTTGCAGCAGATTAGTGAGACACTTGCCAGCCTCATTTCCTTTTCTTCCTGGGCACACCACTAGAATTTCTATTGCCCAGCCTCCCGTAATGTGTCATGTAACTGCAATTTGGCCACTGGGATGTGTAGAAGAAAGGTACCTCCAAGCCTAGCTCATGAAATTCTCTCATTGTCTTCTGCTTCTCGCTTCCAGAGTGACTCCAAGGTCTTCAGAGATGAAAGATCCTCTCGCTAGAAAGAATTCCCAGATTGCTGTGTGGAACAGAACCTTCCTCCACCCCTACTGTACTCCCCAGGAATGCATTGTGCTAAGGTAATAAGAAGATAATCTGCTCTAATGCTTAGTTGTCTGCCCTGATATATTACTTGTATTGCATTTGCCTGGACAAGTCTTACTTTTTCAGAGAGAAATAAATGTGGACAGTAATATCTAGCTTATCTGAGAGTCAACTTAAAGGAAATAATATATTTTTATAACGAGGAAACAAACAAATAAAATGTATTATTATACAGCCCAAAATAAACATCTTGGAATCAATCAATCTAAATTTGTTTTAAAAGATTCAGGACAATTATAATTTTACCATGCACATGAAGTAAGATTTTTACTGCACTTAAGAATTCAATATAGCTCTGAGATTCCTGGCTGCCAAGGCAAAAAAAGAAAGCATTCATTCTACCAAGCATGTACTAAAGATGTAAAACTATGCTTGGTCCTGGGACTATATAGATCCTGGACTATGTAGATGAATGAAATATGATCCTCCTCATATAACCTCTAGATGATAGTTGGGTATCTCTTGCTCAGCTTTCTTTCCAGTATTTTTTACTTTCACCATTTATATGTTCTGAGTCCTATTATGCAAATGATCTGTTTAATTAATTCAAGATAAGCATATTATCTTGTAGTCTTCTCCCTTGACCCTAAAGTTTGTGTATTATAATTTCCAAAGTGAAAAGAGCAATAACTTGTCACCTTTTCAGTGACAAAGTTCATTTTGTTATTTTTTATTTTAAAATGCATTTATTATTTCCTTTATTATTATTGTATTGGAAATATTTTTCCTTTGAAACTCCACTTTATGAAGATAAAACACATTGACTTGGCAAAATCTTACTTAAAGCAAAACACCCGGACAGTTAAAGCAGCATATGCAGTCACATCGTGGGCAAGGCTGGATTTCCAACAGGCTTTTTGAAATACGGAAAATAACAAATTGATTGGCTACTCTTATGAACCTCATAGATCCCAGGCAAAGCAGGTGATGAGCCAAAGGACTGAATCACAGATGATGGAATTTCAGGTATAAAGA